TGCACTGCAGTTGGGAGTACTCCTTTGATGGTTCTTTGGAGAACAGGGCATTTATCTTCTTGGCCTCTGCTTCTCTAGTGTATCTCCTTAGCCTGGCAGCCAGTGTTGTGAGCCTTTGTTTAGCAGTCTCTAGGGCTTCAGATGGAGTAAGGCCCATGTATTTTTTCAGTAGCCAGGTCTTATCCTTAATCTTCATACCCTTCTGTAGTTCCACCAGCTGGCTAACTTCTCTCTGAGTTGCCTTGATCTTAGCTTCCAACGTCATTTTCCAGGGGAGGTATATACTGCTGTTCTTGATCATGTAGCCAAACATCTCCAGGATTACAGCAGCTGTAGCATGTACCAGTTCATTGGTTTGAGTTAGGGTAGTAGTAGGGATTGTCTGGAGGGCTCTACTGGCAACTTCTAGCATACTATCTGATGGTAATTCTCCACTGAGCCTTGGTAATCGGTCTTAAGGGTTGACCGTAACTAGCTTATCCATAATCTTATTCCTCATATCAGCTGCTGTGCTTTGTAATGGAGGAGGTGTTAGTGATGTTCCAACTTCAGGTGTTGGCTGCGCATTCAGTTGTTCTTCTGGTTCTTCTTCAGTCTGAGATGTAATGTGGAGTTGGTCTATCTCAAGTTTGTGAGAGCAGCTTCTTCTTCACTATGTTGAAACATTGGATAACTAGCTGTTTCTCAGTTAGTGTGGATGTAAGTCTTCTGCCATCCATATTTCCCTCATACGTTTCATATATCTCCTCTCATTAGGTCTACTGTTGTAGTAGCATTCCATCAATGCCAGGTTCTCTTGTCTCGTCCATATATGGCTTGTTCCAGTAGCCCACTTATCGTCAGATTGTCCTGGTTCCCCAACATCTGACGTGGACTTTGTTAATCCGAGTGACGTCCAAGCTGGCATGACTCTCTTAGTTTATGTCATTCTCATACTTGAGGTATGCAAATGAAGTGTTAAGGGGTCTTTGCTCAAGGACCCCGACCATTAAGGTAGGTACCAGCCGGGATTTGAACCCCAGTCTCCCGCATCAAGGGCAGTGCTCTAACCACTATGCTATCCAGCTGCTCCATATATACATACAGTCAGGTCCAGAAATATTGGGACATCGACACAATTCTAACATCTTTGGCT